ACAAGAAGGAAACCGAAGGCCTGGATGGCGTATAGAGAAAAGCAATAAAGACATTGAGGGGCTTTAAGGAGAAGTTCTATGAAAAGTTAAAAGAACTGGGCATGCTTAGCCTGTGAAAGAGAAGGCTGAGGGAAAACATGCAACAGTCTTCTGATACTTGAAGGGCTGTCACAGAGGCTCTGGATTTATTCTCTGTGGTGTCCAAGGACAGAACAAGAACCAATAGCCTTTGTACAAAGAAAACCTTGAAGTAAGGAGGAATCTCCTGACTTTGAGAATGATTACGAACAGTAGATGGTCCTTTACCAGAAATTTTCAAATAAAGAGAGCCAACCTGTGTTCAGCAGGTCAGCGGTTCAAATCTCACCGGCTCAAAGTTGACTCAGCCTTCCATCCTTCTGGGGTAGGTAAAATGAGGACCCAGAGTGTTGGGGGCAATGTAAATATATATATACATTGCTTACTGGTGTACACCGCTTAGAGAGTGCTTGCACTTAAAGCGGTATATAAGTCTCATAAATAAATAAATAAATAAACCATTTTTCCTGACGATTTCTGCCCTGGGCAGGGAGTTGGACTAGAAGACCTCCAAGGTCCCTTACAATCCTATGCTTCTGTTCTTCTTGAGATGCATTATTAAAAATGTTTATGCTTCCAAATGACGTTTAAATATTAAAACAAAATAGAAAAGATGAACAATAAATGCATCCTTTTTTCTACAAAAATACTAGATACTAACAGAATATTTAGCTGTTCTCTTGTTTTCTCAATTTGGTGTAACACTTTGTTCTACAGTATCAAGTTCTGTATTTTGCAATATACCTTAGTGAATGAGACATACACTATTATTTTAGTTTGGATTGACAGAACAGATACTGCACTGGAGTACATTGGGAAAAGGGAAATATAAATATTAAAAATAGAAAACTCTTGGAAAAATACCTATTTAGTAAGACCAGAAATGTAAGATTTACATAGGTATTTCTCTCTTACCCTGTAATTCTACCAGCAGTATGATAAAACCTGACACTGGGAGGAGAGAATCACTGAATACAATCTAACCAAATGTCATTAACTGTTCAGAAGAAAACCACTCTTTCTGTTTTTTTCAAAAAAAGACCATGAAAGCTGATTTTGAGTGCTGTCTCCCCCCTCCCCAACACACATTCTTCTTCAAGCTTCAAATATGCTATCAGACACGTACCTGCCTCCCCCAATTCCATATTGAAAACATTTCTAAGTGTCCAACATTAGGGTGTTTAACATATAAAGGATATCCTCAACTTACAATCATTCATTTAGTCGCCATTTGTAGTTACACCACTGAAAACTTACAACTGGTCCTTGCATTTACGCTGTTGCAGCATCCCAGAGTCCTGTGACCAAAATTCAAGTGCTTGGCAACTAGCATGGTTGCAATGTCCCTGGGTTCTGTGAATGCCATTTGTGACCTTCCCGACTAGATTCCAACGAACAAAGTCACTAAGGGAATCTGGATTCACTTAGTGACTTTATGATTCATTAACAACTAGAGTGATTCGCTCAACAACCATGGCAAAAAGATTGTAAAATCAGGTGTGGCTCATTTAACCACCACCTTTTTAGCAACAGACATTCTACATCAGTGTTTCTCAACCTTGACAATTTTAAGGCATGTGGACTTCAACTCCCAGAATTCCACAGCTGGCTGTGGAATTCTGGCAGTTGAAGTCCACATGCCTTAAAATTGTCAAGGTTGAGAAACACTGTTCTAGATTCAATTCCGATCATAAGTTGAGGACTTACCTTTATAGATTACTAAATCTAAAGCATCCCAATGAGAAAATGGGAATTATTTAAAATATTATACTTAATAAAAAGAGATGTTCCTTTTCCAAAAAGAAATACATCTGGTACAATTCATAAAGCACTATGATGAAAACAAAGAACGCTTTTTAAAAATGCTGCTTGACTTGTTTAATTAATGATAAACAGTACGTTTAATTTGAAACTGGCAAACATAAAACACAGCCTTAAAATAAATCCCTCAAAATTACTAGGTAAAAATCACACTTCAAATAAGTTAAACTCCTGGTGATTTTATGGACATATCCATGCAATTTTCCCTAGCAAGAACATGGAATGGTCTGTTATTTTCAACATGTTTTTCAACTTTCTGGTCGAGTTGTAGCCCTGGTTTCCCTTTGGGAATTTCCCATACAAATTATTTGCAAGCAGAAATGTTTACATCTAGAGTTCAGACAAAACAGCATGGAATTCCTTCAACAAGATCTGTAAGTTATGACCTTGGGCCAAATCATTCACTCTCAGCCCAACTCACCTCACAGGGTTATTGATGCGGGGAAAACAAGAAGAGAAAGGGATGTTGGATAGACTGGCTACCTTGAGTTATTCATAAAAGTAATAAAAGTGGAATACAAATACACATGAAGTTGCATGAACTTATACAGGTAGTCCTCGACTTAACGACCACAATTGAGCCCAAAATTTCTGTTGCTAGGCGAGACAGTTGCTAAGTGAATTTTGCCCTATTGTACGACCTTTTTTGCCATCGCTCTTAAATGAATCACTGCAGCTGTTAAGTTAATAACAAGGCTGTTAAATGAATCTGGCTTCCCCATTGACTTTGCAAGATGCTATTTAAACAGGATCTAAAAGAAGAGGTAATACTATATTTAACTCTAATCTGTCCCTAGTTGCTAATACTTCACAAAGTTGGATTAATAATTTAAGAGTCATTTCAAATTGCAAATAAATATTTCTTTAAATATCGTCAGTTCCCCAAACCAAGAATCTGTGAGGAATTCTTAATTCCCCAACTAAGTTGCCCAACATTTGGTTAAAAAAATGTTATGACTCAAAGGTGAAAATAAAACAAAACATAAGAGTTCTTTCTGTCCAACATGTTGAACAAGTATCATTGGCAGGTCCAAGTACTTTCTTTCACATCTTCAGGTGTAAAACCAGCCCCCCCCCCAAAAGACATTCTTCAATTAATCTGGGACCCACACTATACTCACAGAACTACATCCTTGCCTAACAACTAACTTCTCACAACTCATTTTCAGTGGACTATTATTAGCACTGCTCTACTGTAGTTTCCCCAACTTGATCCTGCTTCATGTGCTAGCCAATGAATTCTTATCACCTTTCAATTACCAAATCTACTTGACTATGATGGTAATTGTAGTCCAAGTTGTCTGAAGAACACTAAGCTGAGAATTCCTCTTTATATATAAAATACATATTTGAAGAATCAGCCAGTGTTTCTTCTTCTAGTCATTTTACTTAATTCTGATGGTTGTCTAAATCCAAAGCTCTCTTATTTGCTCTCTCCCTCTCTCACCCACCCTGTGTGTGTGTGTCACACATTACACAAGTTTTAATTCCATGCAATAAATGCTATATCACACCCCATGAATCTAAATAGTTATCTGCAACTGGCAGGAAACATAAACAAAAAGCCACAAAATGCATAAAGTGGCAATTCAGGCTTTACGTACTTTAGACCATATTGCTATGCTTGTTGCTTTATTTCAAGAGTGAGCTCAAATCTCAGCTTTACCAATCATTCATGAAGTCTCACTGCCTATGTATTCCTTAACTTTCACTATGCTTCATTCCTGAGATTCTGACCTTGACATGCTTTCTCTTCCTGAATTCCCTCCCTGCCCCCTTCCCTAGTAACACAAGCATTCCTGGGACAATTTGCATCCCACACACATTTTTCTCCCTCCTGCTTTACACCATGAACACTCATTTTCTTTATTAAAGTTGCCGTTCCATAACATGATTACTTGCTTCTGTGTGCAGCATATTAAAATTTCTCATCCCCACTCATTCCCAAAGGTCCACACAGCCTTCTTCCCTTGAAAATTAAATCCGGAGTACCCATCTCATCTGCAACCACAAGTCCCAGTGAGGATGCCATCCTCTTACTGCTGCTAAGGAATGTATGAAAATGCAACCATCTAAGCCTGCAACTCCCTATCAATCTCATAAACATCCCTTATCAGTACTAACCCTTGTTCTCCATCCATTGAAAAAGCCTGTTTCTATTTGGGATCTGTAGGTGAGTGGTTTTGTTTTTGTGCCTTCAAATCCACCTTAACTCCTGGCAACTGCTAGACTGAGTCCCTGACAAGGTATTTTCAGAAATGGTTTGCCACTGCATTCTTCTTCCTTGAGCTACTTACAGACTGGCCCAAGGCTACCCATCAGCCTTTGTGCCTTCAGCAAGACTAGAACTCATGTCTCCCAGTTTCTAGCCTGGTACTGTACCAAACTGGCTGTCCTAGGTGAGTTAGTGAAGTCATTCCGAATCAGCATGAGCTCAATGGCTGAAAGTAATCAACCATTCCCCAACCATTGTGTGGAGGGCTACTACCAGCAGAGTATCCCCTGTATGCTATCCGCCCATGCCATTCCCCTTTCTTCTTATGCAATTATATCAGGGTTCTTCCTTTGAAGCAAAATAAGAGTTCAAGCTAGCATATTAACCTGGATCCAACTATAGCCAGCTTTTAAGGCCCTCCCCAGGAATAGCAGGCTGCCCAGCAATTTGACCCTTAACCCAATCTCTCCTCAAGAACCAGCCTCCTGTAATGACTGGGTGCACAAATTGCTCTCTCTGTCTATATATATAAATAAATACATGGTGTCGGCAACTGCGTTGGGGCAATCCAGCCATTACGGTCGGGAAATCGCCGTGGATGGCTCAGCACAGCATGCAAAGCGAGCTCGCCCCGAGTTAGCCGAGGAAGGCAGCTAGTCGGTCCGAGCCCGCCGCTGTCGAGGGGAAGCCGGGCTTGAAAGAGCAATTCTCCCCTTTCCTTGGAAGCCCTGCGAGCCCCGGGCCGTTCAGGGTAGAGGATCCCACCAGGAACCTGATCTTCCTTTTGTCTCGGCTGGAACTGCTGCTGCGGTGCGCTGCATGCCGTCCATCCGTTGCTCTCGCCCAACCCCGAAGGAAGGCTCCCCAGCTCACTTCTCCGACTCACCCTTTGTAGTAAGCCTTGACGCGGACCTGATGGGCGCTGTCCCCTCCAGGGCCACCGATCCCGCCGCCGCTGCCTCCCGGGCCCGGGTGCGACATGCTAGTGCCGCCGCTGTTGCTGCCGCTCTCGCGCTGAGTCGGCATCGCCCCTCCGCCGTGCCTCGCCGCGCTTCGCCCGGCCCCGCCCGCCCGCCTCCCTGGCGGCCCCACCCCGGACCTGCAGAGGGGGGGGGGGAATGAAGGAAGGAGGGAGGACTGTACGTGCGTGCGTCCCCTCTTATGCTTTCTCCCCCTCGCCAAAGCGGCACCCGCCGCTGTAACGGAGGCCCAGATCCGACCGCTCCGCCTTCCCCTCCTCTCCCACCCGCTCCGAGGTTGCGCGCTGGAGGCGAGCCTGCGCGGGCAGGTACGTCCCTTCGGCGAACGCGCCAAAGTCGTGGAGCGGAAGGGAGAAGAAGCAGAGGAGGGGCGCTCGTGCGGGCTGTGGAGCGAACCACTTCGCGGAGCGTAGAGGGGAGCGAAGGGCGCAAAGAACCAGGCGGAGAGGTGGGGGGGCTTCAGATCGTTTGGACCCAAGAGGCCGCACGGATGAATTCTCAGATGCGTTGTTTTCATAAGCCCGAAGGACGCCAAATTCTTTCCTTCGGGGAAATAGGCTGAATGGCTTGTCGGCATTTTTGCAGTTCCCCCTTTTTCTGTCTGCGCACCTGACGAATAGATCATAGAGAGGAGACTTTGGCATACCGTACTCAAACCTAGCATTGCTGAAAGCAAAAGACAGTAGAACCTGCGGCTTTCGTTCGTCAGAGCTTGCGAAACTAAAGCGTGATGTAAAGCTGTGATGTATGTTATTGGTACAAACTGGGCATTTCTAAAGTGGGAATACTACAAATCGCAGAATGCATAGAAGTCTTCAAAGTATGGATCAGTGCACTGCAGAGATTGTGCAAACGGGCATCGATTTCTGTCTTGTAGTTAACAGTACTTCTCACATTTCTGTACTTCCACAATTCGAAAACTGTAATATTTTTGTAGAGAAATAAAGCTGTGATATGTGAGCTGTAGAAGGAGCATGATCTTTAAAACATGGGAGCGTGATTTACTGAAAAACAAGGTTGCTTCTGCATGAGAATATAGATTTTAGTCGTGGAATTTTTCATTGTCCATTTAGTCATGAAATTAATGGAATTTAGACCTATTTAGAGTTCCAGATGTTGAAATTCACCTTATTTTTCCTATTGGTCCGTGTTTTGTTTTTCATTGGGAGAAAAAAAGGAAAGAATGTTAGCACATTGACTTTTAGCATCATGGGGAGACATCCTTCTGGCAGCATCCTGTAATAAGGTTACTGAACATGCTAGACTACTAAACCAAAATGGGATTAGATTGTTTAGTTCCATGTACTGTGGAAACTCAGCCATTATCTCAGCATATTGTAAACACCTGTCTATGAGCTTTAAACCACAACCTGGTTTGAATAAATTATTATATATATTGAAGCAGAGTAGTATATTTGGTAAACCTATTTGTTTTACTAGTTGTTTGAGCCCAGCAATGAAAGTTCTGAACAAAATCTTTAAATACTGTGATTTATCTGTGTCTAAAATTATTCGAATATGCAGACAGTAGTATTCCTTGTAGCACTCTGTGAATGCAAAAAATGGATTTTGAAGAGCCAGACAAAAAATATTGATGCTTTAGAAGTTTGATGTTGGAGAAGATTCATGAGAATACCATTGATTGCCAGGGAAACAAATAGTTTCTAAAATAAATGAATACAGACTTATTAGTTGAGGAACAATTGATCAGGCTCAATCATATTTTGGGAAGATACAGATCTCTTCAGAAATCCACAATGATGAGAAAAAAGAAAAAAGAGGATGATCAGCAGTAAGATGAATGTACTGCATTATAACAGAAATGGATGCACACATTAGAAGACATAAAAAGCCAGCTTGAGGATAAATAATTCTAGAGGAAAGTCATATCTGTATGGTCACTGAGACTTGACATTGACTTGGCAGCGCATAATTTGCTTTAAATAAATAAATTTTCATGGTTCAGATTAGAGGGCAAATACCAACCTGTGTATTATCATCTGTGTATTTGTGGTATCATGACCTGCACTGATAGATTACCTTTCTCATTGATTTCTTACAGATGTTAATACTGGAGAGAGGATCAAGTACATGATCACCCATTAGGCTGCCCGCTTTTTCCCCACTGATACTAAAACAACCCACTTAAGAAACAGTGCGCAGCTGAAACACATTGCTCTTAACAAGTCTTAAAAATTGGTCAGAGGATACCATAGTTGATACTGTAGTATTCACATGCCTCTAAATCAGGGGTGTCAAAACTACCGGCCCGCAGGCTGGATGCGTCATCCAGAAGCTGCGCCCACCCCATTGCTGGCAATGGCAAAACCATCCCGATACATTGTGCGACGTCATGTGATGTCACGAATTTGACATGTCTGCCTAAGTCAGTGGTTCTCAACCTGTGGGTCGGGACCCCATTTGGGGTCGAACGACCATTTCACGGGGGTCGCCAAACAAGGCTGTCCGCCATTTTTTTCCCCTTTTCTTTGGCCACACCCCTGGCACCTGGTGATGTATAAGTGGTTGGGGGTCACCACAACATGGGGAACTGTATTATGGGGTCGCGGCATTAGAAAGGTTGAGAACCACTGGCCTAAGTAGTCAGAGGATAACTGGAGGGGTGCACTCTTCCAATGAGATCCCAACAAAGATTATCCACAAGGGTGACCCATTCCTGGCTGTCCCATGCCCAAGTCTTAAAAAGAACCCAGACAATGTTTCTTCCAGAGCACTCTGTGGCTGACTCCACACCACATTCTTGACAACCTTCCCTAAATAGGGTGAGAGACTAAGCAACTGTAGGTATCTCCTTCACAGCGGGTGGTAACACCCCTCAAAGAAGCATCGCCACCTTTTGAATGGATCCTGTTAGTCTCCCTACTATCCTAAAGGAATCAAGAAAAGCATCATTTGAGCCTATAAATGGTAGAGGGCACACTGGAGAGCTTCCTCCCTGCAGGCCCCCAAAAGTTGCAGATAACATTAGAAGAGGCTGTTCCAGGCATCGCATCAGATTCTGCTCATGAAAGCCAGTGTGAAGATTAAGATAAAAACTCAGGCATACAAATTGGTGTGGAGCTGAAAAGAACATATCCCCCGCCCTCCGAATTTGAAAGAAACACAATATCTTTGCAAAGTAACTTTAGCTCTCTGGTAATACAAACTACAAGAACTTCAGGTAAAACAAAAAAGTGTTTACAATATTAAGGAAAGTCAAGGCTTATTATAAAGTACAGAAACAAATGATTATATACATTTAGTGTATATTAAAAAAGCAACAAATCATTGATGGGCAATAAAAGCTTTGTTTTTATTAAAAGTGAGAAAAGACATCTTTAGATAAAATTCCTCAAGTGACAAATGTATATGTCTAGAGATAGCTGTGGGTTGTAGGAATCTCTTTTATCTTTTGTAAAATATGTAGCACTTCCTTCTTTCCCAGCCAGGACTTTCTATTACTGTCCTATTGTTTATTGTTGATAAAGTTTTGCACATCAAAGGAAATTGCTTTTACTCCAAGCAAAACATGCTTTCCTAAACTTAAACCCCAAAATTCTACATAACAGTTGGACTAGGAGCAGGAACACTCCCTCAAATCCAGTGTTTCCCAATCTTAACAACTTTAAGATGTGTGGACTCAATTAATCTAAATAGAACTAAATCCTCAGCTACAATGTAAATCTCAACAAAAATTGTAGTACTTTAAAGAGCATTTAAGAGCCAGTTTGGTATAGTGCTTAAGTCATTCGGCTAGAAATCAGGAAATCCTGAGGTCTAGTCCTGTCTTAGGCACAAAGCCACTGGATGACCTTGGGCCAGTCACTTTCTTAGTCCCGTAAAGAAAGAAATGGCAGATTACTTCTGAAAAATGTTGCCAAAAAAACTGCAGGGACTTGTCCAGGCATCCGAACAGAAAACAAAAACCCAGTTGTCCACTTTTTATACATCTTGTTCTCTGGCTACAAGAAAAGCCCTATATGCAAGATATTTTTATATCCCTTGTTAAGGTCACCAGGATTTTTTTATTGAATTAACCCCACTGTCTCTATTCACACAAAGGGATCACCGATTGTATAATACCCAAAAGCAGGTCTGCGGTTCCTTGTCTCTTGCAAACGCTTTTGAAAGCTTTCTTCCCATTCTTCGAAAACCATTGTTTATGGCTTAGCATAAGACCCCAGACAACCGCGATTTATTCATGGTTTCCTGCAACGTCCGAATCCTGCTGATGCGTGCCTCTGGCAGCCTCCCCCTCCCCAATCTTGCGGCAGAAGATCAGGATGGACAGTACACGCGGGGGATTTTCCTTATTCAGTCTTCCGAGCAAACCAAGATCTCCACCCCGGAGTGACTTCTGCCGTCATCTGCAGGAAGACAAGCCTAAGCGGGCTGCAAAAAAAACCACCTCCCCCCCCCCAAAAAAACCCCCAGAAATCGGAAGAATTCAGGACCAGGACACGGGAACGGCCAATTCACACATGATTCCGCCCCCAGAAGTGTCGAGCGCAAACTCCCGGCCGCGAGGCGCGTGCGCGCTGCCTCCCTATGAGGGAGGCGAGAACATGGCGGAAGCGGAGTGAAGGGTTCGTACGCCGAGCGGGTGCGTTTCCTTTCGTGCGGGGGAGCGGCCGCCCGACGCGGGAGGGGCTCCTGGCTGGCAGGGAGAGTGGGCTGGCGCAGACCGATCCTCGACGCAGCCAGCCGCAGGGATGGCAGGCCGGCCGGGCAGAGGAAGCCACTGGGCCCGGGCTTCTCTCGCCCCTCTTTCCCCAACCTGGCGCCCTCCAGGGGTGCGCGCGCATTCCTTGTCTCTGCGGACTCGGGAGTTGTTACCTAGGCGCCGATCTGGAGAAGGTTGCATTGATTCAGCCTTGCGTGAAGGGTGAACCCCAGGCCAGAGGTTGGCCCGGGTAATCACACGCGTAGAGAGCTATGCCTTGAGCCGCGTTTTTTGTTTTCTTGTGGTACTCAGTCTCCTTTCTTAAAGGCGCTGATAACAATTGCTGTACAAAGTCTAGTATGGGGGGGCCTTTTTAACGGCCTCATGTGGAATGACCTAGCCAAGCAAATCAGGATGTCCTGGGGGGGGGGGAATTTGCACACACCTATGTGCACCTCTTTATCTGAATTGCTAGATTGATTTGATTTGATTCCTTTTCCTGGAATCAAAATGAAGTTTTGTGCTGGCTAAAAACTGAAATTCGTGTTGGGCTCATTCTCTAAAACTCACTGATGGGATGAAGAAGCAGCTGTTAAATTTATATTTGCTACGCTGGTCATGGAGTTAAATTGTTCGCTTGCTGGCTTTTCTACGATCCCATTAGGTTTAAATAACTATTGGTGTAACAATATGAATGCAAAAGAAATCTTGTGGCACCCTAAATACCATTCATTATTACTGTTATTGTCTGTTAAATTTGTAGGCTGCTGACTCTCACTATCTTAATAACACACAAGATCTTTTAAGATGCCACAGTGCTATCTCTCTCTCTAGATTATGATGTATTTGTGAACAGGACATAACTACTCCTCACTGAGTTTAATAATATTTCCTCCCAGATAAACTATAGACCAATGTTGCTTAACCTTGGCAGCTTGAAGATATGTGGAACTTCAGTTCCCAGAATTCCCTAGCCAGCAAAGATGCCAATGTCATATGTTATTGATGTGGTAGGAGTCAGCAGCCTTCAGTTCTAGAGTTGAAGTCCACACATCTGCAAGCTGCCAAGGTTGAGATATTGCCAGTATAGAGAACACCAATAGAGAAGCCCCACTACTGTATTTCTGGATTGCAAAATTTTGCATGAGGGTAGAGAGGGTTTTGCAGAACAAATATGATCTGCTAGCAGCAGGTAACCTGCAATGTTCCTGCTATTATTGGACTTAATTTCCTGCCATGCCTGATCATTTGATATGATGGCTAAGCTGGTGAAATTTGGAGCCTATACATGAGGCCTGCTCATGTATAGATAGGGTTGCAGTCTAACCCAGAAGAAATTACAACTTCAATTCCCGTCTATAATGTGGGAGATATAATTTTTACTCAATTTACAAGAGTTTTAGTAAGGATGGAAAATACATTGTGCTGGTGAAGTGTTTCTGAACCCTTAAAAGTATCCAAATGTTAAATATGATTATGTAAAAATGACTAGATAGGTGGCAATCTGACAAATGACAATGATAAAACAGGTGTCTCAATTGTTTTAACAATAGCTGCTAATTTTTGCAATTCACAGGTAAAGCAGCATGTGCCATCTGGAATAAAAGTTGCATTTTTTCTAAAATGTTGTGAAAGGACAGTTTTTGATTTCATAAGGGTTATCTGAAAGTGTTTGATATTATAACATTCCTGTTTCAGGTAGTTCATTTTGCATTGTACAATACACAGGAGAAATGTATCGGCTAAATGCCCATGATATAAAGGTCAGTGTGATGTAGATACAATTGTTAGTCTTACATTGTAATCCCAAGCACACTTCTTTGAAAGTAAGCAATATTTGCACATTTGCACAGTTTGTGCTATTAAACTTGGAGGTCTGAGTTCAAATCACAGCTCAAACATACATTTTAATTAACTTGCTAAATGTGGGCCATTTGTTTTCGTTCCCTTGAAAATAAAACACTACATGTGCAGTCTTGAGTATAGTTTGTTCCCAGGGCAAAACGTATTTGCCATTAAATTGTACTAATATGTCTGGCATATTTTTGCATCAGCTGTGCAAAATTTTCAGGGGCAATTTCATAGAAAACAAAAGCATGAATAAGTTATGATTGGCAACAGCAGAGCATCTACAACAGAAAAGAAACATCACTGTTTTCAGTCCTAAAATAGTCACTCTTTATTTTTTAAAGTATTTCTGCAACGGTATTTTGAGATAGACTATTATTCTGGCTCTAGTATGAAACTTCAGGCATGAGATTTGGACTTGCATTACTGAATGTTGTAGAATTTGATCTTGTTTTCTGTACAGGAGCATACCAACATGTATGTTTCCTTTTAGAGTCTAGGTAGAAGAAAATGGTATTCATTTGAATGACATGTTTTTTAAAAAATATTTTGTTCAGAGGCAGAATCATTCCACAATTATGGAGAATGAATCAAGCACAACTTCTTCCACAAGCACAACAACCATTGCTACTACATCTTCCCCCTCCCGTACACAACCACCCCAGATATCTGTCTACAGTGGCTCAGATCGACATGCTGTGCAGGTATTTAACTGAGGAAACGCTGATAATATGTATTACAATTGAAAATCATTGCTAAAAAGATTCTAATTAAATACAGCTTCTATGATTTCAATAATGCCTCATCAGCCATTCCTCCTGCTTGTTCCCCCCCCCCCTTTGCAACTAGTGTAGAGTTCTGAAGAGATTAAATGCTTGCAAACTATTTTGGGAAGTGTGCTGTTTTAAGAATATTTGTGTTTTGATCCACATAGCAATCTAGGAACTATTAGTTCAATTAATTAAAAGCATAGACCAAATGAAGTCCTTTGCTATCCTTTGTCAGAATCAGCATCATTTAGCAGCAGGGGCAGCTATAGGGAGAAGTGGGATGATTAAAAAAAGTCAGGATAGTGGCTGTGAATATAGGTGCAAAATAGGGTAGGGTTTCTTTTGGATGGTTGTGGCCATTGTCTTAACTTTTGTGTGGTTGCCTCTGTTTACTAGAGAAAATAAAGAGTAACTAGCATAGCTTTTAAAAATCCCATCATACCTCTCTTTCATCCTTTCCTATCTCGTACTTTCTTTCTCTCTTTTTTTTTTAATCTACTTCTATCTCAGTCCTTCTCTTCTTAATTCTTTCCAGGCTCCTCTGATCCTAATTTTACAGCTGGTAACCTATTTGGTTCATATAGAATCAAGAATTTTGGAAGTTATTTAATACAGTTTATTTCTATTTGGCAAGTAAATGCTTGATGGTTACAATACTGTGGTATTGTGTGGAATGTTAGTTAAAAACAGTCTCTTGCAACCTGATACCTTCCAGGTGGATTAGATCTAGGATTCTTAGCCAGGATAGCCTGAGGCTGAGAATTCTTGGAATGGCAACTCCCATGCCTTACTAATGAGGACTGGGGAAAAGCCATTTAAAATATGCAGTTTCAATTATTTGAGAGAAGCCATGTTTATGAAAGTTCATCTGAGGGCATTAGCACCAAGAATTTGGCCCTTACTAAGCAGTGGAGCTAATATTATTTTGTCTGAACTGCCCAAAATCTCACATGGCAAAATTTTGCCCTTTCAGATGCTGAAGCCCCTTGAAAGCCTGGGGAATGGGCTAAAATCCTATTGGCGGGAATTCCCACCAATCCTTGCTTCCCAAGTGTTTGACATTCTCCACCCCCTAGACCAGGGGTGTCAAACTGCCGACCTGCGGGCTGGATGCATCATGCCAAAACCATGCCCACCCCAGCTCTAACAATGGGGAAGAAGTTGTAATATGTCACAACACATCACGTGACGTTGCGAGTTTGACACCCCTTCCTAGACCATTGCTTTTCAGACTTGGTGCCTGTGGAATTCTAAGAGTTGAGATTCATACTTCTTAAAGTTGCCAAGCTTGGAAAACACAGTCCTAGACACATCAGGAAGACACATTGTGTTGTGGTGGTCCTGCACAGATTTGGGGGCTTCTCATTGGTCATTTATAAGTCAGGCTACAGGGGAAGGACATAGATCATCAGTGGGAGATTGACTTTGGGATTCCATCAGTGGTCCTGAAGGGAGCATGTTTGGATGTAACTAAAACACTTGCAGTGCAGTGACTGTTTTGGAGATAAACGTGGGCTGTTAACAAAACTATACCTGAGGGTTTGGGGGAGCGGCAGACATAGAATAAAACAGAATTCTTTTTGGCCAAGTGTGATTGGACACACAAGGGATTTCTCTCTGCTGCATAAGCTCTCAGTGTACATACAAACAACAAAGTGATAGGTCATGGATCATAAATCATAGTTATAGTCATTAATCATAAAATGCAAACAAGTGATAAATCATAAGATACCAATAGGAGAAGATACTAGGAAAGATGAGAAGATGAGAAATGAAAAGGTGAGAATGATGAGAAAGATAATAGCAATACAGCCCACTACATGGGTAAATATCTTTGGGCCTGAGTGCTGTGGGAATTACAGTGGGGCAAAAAAGTATTTAGTCAGCCACCAATTGTGCAAGTTCTCCCACTTAAAAAGATGAGAGAGGCCTGTAATTGTCATCATAGGTAGACCTCAACTATGAGAGACAAAATGAGAAAACAAATCCAGGCAATCACATTGTCTGATTTGGAAAGAATTTATTTGCAAATTATGGTGGAAAATAAGTATGTGGTCAATATCAAAAGTTCATCTCAATACTTTGTTATATATCCTTTGTTGGCAATGACAGAGGTCAAACATTTTCTGTAAGTCTTCACAAGGTTGGCACACACTGTTGCTGATATGTTGGCCCATTCCTCCATGCAGATCTCCTCTAGAGCAATGATGTTTTGCGGCTGTCGCTGGGCAACACGGACTTTCAACTCCCTCCAAAGGTTTTCTATGGGGTTGAGATCTGGAGACTGGCTAGGCCACTCCATGACCTTGAAATGCTTCTTACAAAGCCACTCCTTTGTTGCCCGGGCGGTGTGTTTGGGATCATTGTCATGCTGAAAGACCCAGCCACATTTCATCTTCAATGCCCTTGCTAATGGAAGGAGGTTTGCACTCAAAATCTCACGATACATGGCCCCATCATTCTTTCCTGTACATGGATCAGTCGTCCTGGTCCCTTTGCAGAGAAACAGCCCCAAAGCATGATGTTGCCACCCCATGCTTCACAGTAGGTATGGTGTTCTTTCGATGCAACTCACCATTCTCTCTCCTCCAAATACGACGAGTTGTGTTTTTACCAAACAGTTCTACTTTGGTTTCATCTGACCTTATGACATTCTCCCAATCCTCTTCTGGGTCATCCAAATGCTCTCTAGCAAACTTCAGACAGGCCCGGACATGTACTGGCTTAAGCAGGGGGACACGTCTATCACTGCAGGATCTGAGTCCCTGGCGGCGTAGTGTGTTACTGATGGTTGCCTTTGTTACGTTGGTCCCAGCTCTCTGCAGGTCATTCACTAGGCCCCCCCGTGTCGTTCTGGGATTTTTGCTCACCGTTCTTGTGATCATGTTGACCCCACGGGGTGAGATCTTGTGTGGAGCCCCAGATCGAGGGAGATTATCAGTGATCTTGTATGTCTTCAATTTTCTAATTACTGCTCCCACAGTTGATTTCTTCACACCAAGCTGCTTGCCTATTGCAGATTCAGTCTTCCCAGCCTGGTGCAGGTCTACAATTTTGTTTCTGGTGCCCTTCGACAGCTCTTTGGTCTTCACCATAGTGGAGTTGGAGTGTGACTGAGGTTGTGGACAGGTGTCTTTTATATTGATAACAAGTTCAAATAGGTGCCATTAATACAGGTAATGAGTGGAGGACAGAGGAGCCTCTTAAAGAAGAAGTTACAGGACTGTGAAAGCCAGAAATCTTGCTTGTTTGTAGGTGACCAAATACTTATTTTCTACCATAATTTGCAAATAAATTCTTTCCAAATCAGACAATGTCATTGTCTGGATTTGTTTTCTTATTTTGTCTCTCATAGTTGAGGTCTATCTATGATGACAATTACAGGCCTCTCTCATCTTTTTAAGTGGGAGAACTTGCACGATTGGTGGCTGACTAAATACTTCTTTGCCCCACTGTAGGTGTTCAGCAAAGTGATGGCATGGGGGGGGGGAGGGACTATCTTTGTGTCTACTTGTTTTGGTATGCAATGCGCTATAGCGGCATCCTGAGGGAAGAAGTTGAAACAGTTTATGACCAGGATATGAAGGGTCTGTAGATATTTTCTCAGCCCTCTTTCGTGCAGTATACAATCAATATAGTTGATTGACTTTAAGCATTGGGCTCTGATAGGATAGTCCAGACTAAGGCAACAGGTGCTTGACCTTGTGACATGGTAACTGCACAGTGGCTCCACTTGTTTTAGATGTCTTGTGAGTCTGAGCTCAAAAGCAATGTTGGACAATTCAAACAGAGTTCAGTTCTTTAATTCTTTACACATAACGGGCAGAATTTTGCAAGAGTAAACTCTTACTGCTTCCAGCCTAAAAGATATATTCAGAGAGATTCTAGAGCAGTGATGGCAAACCTTTTAGAGACTGAGTGCCCAAAAACTGGCTCCGCCCCTGCCCCACCCCCACCTCATCTGCCTGCAGTGGCACTCACTGCCTCCAGGGCCCGCCGCAGATCGCCCAGGCAGCCCAGCAGCACCATGGCGGCCACGCCCTCTGCCCGCACCCCGCAGCATCAACTGTGCGTGATGGGGCATGAGGGCAGAGTCTTTTCTACGCTGCCTGGCTGCCATGTCCTTGGCTGCGCTGCTCCACGTGGGCCACGCTCTGGGGTGACTCTCCTCCAGGGGGGCTGCTGGGGAGGATGGGGTCATGGGGGGAGGCGGGGCTGCAGCAATGGCACGTGTGCCCACAGAGAGGGCTCTGGGTGCCACCTCTGGCACGCGTGCCATAGGTTTGCCACCACTGTTCTAGAGAGTAGCTGTTGTAACTCTCTTCCTCTGTTTCCTTTCCAGACTGTGTTGCCTCTTGTCTCCCTTCCCTTTCTGAAATGTGCTTCTTTCTTCTTGTGAGAAACTGCCATTTCACCCTAACCCAACTCCCCCTCCACGGACGCCATCCCTCACATATCTCTTCCATATATTCTGATTCTGGACATGGAAGCCTGTGTTCCTAGAGCTAGCAATGAACTCAGTGTTCAGATATGGGTTGCTCAAGGGGATTAAAATGTTCCTGGTTACAAAGGCAATGATGTAGTTCCTTAGAAGTGCAGGCTGTGCTAGTGCTTAAATGGCTGTTATGATAGGACTGATCTTTCCCCATCTCTTGTTCTCGCCATGGTTACCACTACTCAAAACCCCACAGGTCATTCAGCAGGCCTTGCATCGTCCCCCCAGCTCAGCTGCACAATACCTTCAGCAGATGTATGCAGCTCAGCAGCAGCATCTGATGTTACAAACTGCAGCTTTACAACAGCAACATTTGAGCAGTACTCCGTTCCAGAGTTTGGCCAGTGTCCCACAGGTAAGACTGGAGTAAATTGGAAAATAAAAATCAGGAACTTAACCTTAATTCTTCCAATAATAAAAATATAATATTACAATTTGGTTTTAAGGGAAAGTTTTCCAACCTTCCTCCCCCCCCCACCCCAAATATTTGTCTACAGTAGTTAAAGCAGAATATGGTACCTAACAGCAGTGGAACTTTAATAGCCAATAGCTTCAACCAGCGTAGGCAATAGTGTGGCATGCTGGGAGCTGTAGTTTGGCAAAATTAAAAGACCCCAAATTTCTTATCTGTTGTTATAGATAGCCAAGAAAATCTTCATATGTGGAAGGGGTAATTCTTTAAAAAAGTAATGTTTCAACCCAGCTATTTAATGGTCTGTTGATATAATAATAATAATGAAATAATTTATTATCAAGGAACAGAAGCCTGAGACTGGAGCCTGAGCCAATCTGATTTCCATTTTGAAACAATGTAACCATTCAAAATCATTAATTGTGAATATCTGATTATTTTAATCCCTTGTGTTATTTACAAGTGGATTTCATTTCTCTCTTTTCACATCAGAGAATGTACTCTGATATCATTTTTTGTTTAGTATCTTTCTATAATAATTGCATTTACAAAGATTTCTAAGCATCCAACAATATTAAACAAAAAAAAATGAAAGCAGCATATCAAATTACGATAAAAAGTTAAAGCTCATTGATTTTTATTTATTTGGAAAATATAATCCCATTTTTCCATTTCCCGGCATTACTCAGGGGCAGTTGTCAGTGCATTAAACGAAAATGTTTTTGCTGCTGAGCTTCAGTAACACGATTTCAGACCATTTTTCCTGGTTGGGAATTTGGCAAATAGAAGCAGTTTACCACCTAGAGATTTACTGCTTCATTTCTACCCTTAAGGTCCAAGCAAAGGAAAAAAAATAAGAGAGGGGACAAAAATTATTCTCATCATTGCAGCAACATCACCTGGTTGGTTGAAGGAAATCACTATGGAATTCTTTTCCTGGGTGGATGGAGTGTTAGTTCAGGGTAACATCTGACTGTTTAACTAAGCTTTCAAAAGAGATAGCAAATTGTCTGGAATTAAAGAGAATGGAGGCCACAAATAAAAGTGATTATGGGAATTGTGGCTTTGGGGCTGCCATTGATTTTAATGTGAGTACACTCTTGTTAGTCAAGCACCTTTTCTTACAATGCAAATAACTCATTTGATAGATGTGCTTGCTGTTTAGGCAAATCTTTCAGGTGGGAGGCAGTGTGCTTCTCCTAATGGCAGTGTCACACAGCAGTCCAGCATGTCAGAAACCTCGGTAAGTTTCTAGCAAAAGTATTTCTCTTAAACTATAAGGTTCCGTGTTTATTCTCTACATTCACATTGTTTATGAAAACGTTTGAGGAGCAAAAACTGGAGTTCTTGATCTATTAAAGTCTCAGTGCCTTTATACTGTAAATAGTAATACAGATCTTTAAACATTATTTTGTTTTGAACAAATGGCCTGGTTGAATTCACTCTAAATGCAAGAATAAAAGAGACTCACACCTTTGGGGAAGATATATATTGGATTTGCTAGATTTTTTGGAGAAAGAATTTACAAGAGTTATATAGGATCTTGGGAGAAAGAATCCACTAAGAGTGTTGACTTCAGTTGCTGAGAACCAGCCAACTTTATATTAACTTATTTAGGCAACCCTTTCAGTGTTACAGTGGCAGTGTTGAAGACTAAGTGACATTTACAATTTACCAAAAGTTGTTGGACTTCTATTGCAACCAGAGTCTTTCAAGTTTAGAACTGAACAACAGTTCTAGCTTCAGATTAAATAGCTGACTAAAAAAATGGGCAAAACTTGCAAAAAAATAAATATATATATGGCTGTTTAATTCCCGTGTTTAAGCTTGGAAAATTCTCTTATTATTGGTTAGCAAATGTTAACATGTAAGACTGTGGCCAGTAATCTTTTTAATGAGGAAAGATTTCTGGCTAAAATATAGTTTTGAAAGCTGAAGACTTAGCATTTTATCATATCCAAACTCTGTCCTACAGAGCATAAACAAAAATATTATTTCATTGCATAATGTGAATGTTACTTAGGCATCTGTTCTCATGTTTTCAGTAGAATTGACCATTGAATAGAATCGTTGGGTGTAGCTGTTTTTAGATGAGTGAGATAAAGATAGTTAATGATCATTTATTTTTTCTTCTCTAGATTAATCTTTCTGCTTCTCCTACACCTGCACAGCTAATAAGCCGTTCACAGACCTCCAACACTGGTAGCAGCAGTCTTACACAGCAGACCATGCTGTTAGGGGGCACTTCTCCTAATCTGACTGCCAGTCAGGCTCAGATGTATCTCCGAGCTCAGATGGTAAGTCTTGCCAATGTAATGTCACCATTTTGGGGATTCTTGTCTTGTCCTGTTTCTATGTATGGCTTTTGGCTGCATGTTGTAAGTGCCCTTGCACTCTATACGGGGCTACCCTTGAAGAGCATCCGGAGGCGCTATAGCTGGGGCAGGGCAGGGTGCTTGCCGCACAGGCAGTTCTTAGGGCCCCAAGAATGGCCCATGTAACATCACTGCTGCACGAGCTTCACCGGCTGCAAGTTTGCTTCCAGGTGCAATTCAAGGTGCTGGTAATCATCTGGTGTGTCCAGGCTACTTGAGGGACTGTCTCATCCCACTGGGATTGGCCCGCCTCACCTGTGCCGGCTGAGGAGACATACTACGGGCCCTTATCAGCCTGACTATTCCGACTGGCAGGATCCAGAAGATGCCCTGCATCTCCTCTGTGGAATGTCTTGACCCCAGGTGTGAGGTCGGCCCCAACCCTCTGATCTTATGGAACATCCTACTGGCTCTCCAGTTAACTTGGGGTTCCAGCTGGGGAGTGTCACACTGGAGGTGGTTGATTAACAATGGATCCCACCTCCTTCCCCATCCTACTCTCGCCCTCCCCATCTTCTAATTGGCCGTAGTGGTTTGGATTTTTGCATTAACTTATTTATGTTTTTTAACTTATATAGTTTGATTTTTTTTATGATTATAAGTTGCCCAGAGTTACCTTGAGGTAAGATGGGCGGCCTATAAATTTTATAAATAAATAGTCTTTGACTTCAAACAGTGGCATCTCTAAGTTTATGGTCTTTTATATTTGACATGTTTGGAGAGGTGCTGTTCCTGTTAGGAATGTCTTGGATAGGTATAGAAGAAGCATCTTTGCCTCTTTTTATATGTTTTAGATTGCGCTGTTTAGCTAGAGGCCTAAGGTGCCAAGAAATAGACATTCCCCTGCAGCTCTGATTTTCTGATGCAAACAGCAATTTATTGAGGACTTTTTTTTCCCCCAGCACAATGAAACAATTTTCATTTTTCTAAGTTTTAGTATGGCTTCCTTTATCCCTCACTACAGCTACTGTTCATACTTTTAAAATGTACATATTTGTTGCATTAACACGTTTGGCCGTAGCTAGGTTTTGAATTTAAGTGTTGAGGTAAATAAAAATCTAGGCTAAGATCAAATGCTAGATACCTTTAATCAAATTGATATTTGGTTTGGTGGAGGATTTAGCCTCAACTTAAATGAGAAAAGTAAATTACGACTTAATGAAAAATCTCAGGGATGAAGCAATTTCCATGTTGTTTTCTTGGTAATAATATGGAAATGATTTGTCTTCTTTTGGGAGATTTCTTTGATTTCCCACCCTAGTTCTCAACTCTGATATTTCCTAGTGGTGTCTCAACCAAGTACCTACTCCTGAGATCAGCCAAGGTTGGCCAGGTGTTTATGGCTATTTGACAGTTTCCTTTTTTAATAACTTTCAAATACCAATGAAGAACAGCATGCAATCGTGTTATTTTGGGGGAAGCCTCAGGCTGCAGACATTCTTGTTCAAAGAGATGAAATAACTAAGCGACTCAAAAAGTCTGAGGGTGCTTCCTAAGATAGTAGAATAAATATTTGTAGGTCTTGTACTAAAAGAAAAGACACACCACTTTGTTTTCAGACAACAGGTAGTTCTCGACTTACAATGAGAATTGAGCTCAAATTTTCTGTTGCTAAGTGAAACATTTGTTAGGTGAGCTTTGCCCTCTTTTATGACCTTTCTTCCCACAGTTGTTAAGCGAATCACTGCAATTGTTAGGTTAGTAACACCATTGTTGAGTGAATCTGCCTTTCCCTTTGACTTTGCTTGTCAGAAGGTGGCAAAGGTGATCACACGGTGCCGAGACTCTGCAGCCGTCATAAATGTGAGCCAGTTGCCAAGCATCCTAATTTTGATCACGTAACCTCAGAGATGCTGCAGTGGTCATAAGTGTGAAAAATGATCACAAGTCACTTTTTTTCAGTGCCGTTGTAACTTTGAATGGTCGCTAAATGAACTGTTGTAAGTCGAGGACTAGCTATCTATGTGCTTTGTGTGGCTTTCAATTTTCTTTTTCCTGCCTTCACAGCTGATTTTTACGCCTGCTACCACTGTGGCGGCTGTCCAGTCTGACATTCCTGTTGTGTCGTCATCATCTTCGTTTCCCTGTCAGTCTGCAGCTACTCAGGTGAGGCTGCATGGATTGAGGGAGTATGTGTGTCTACCTGTAACCCAGAACCATTGCGAACAGCTGGGATGCGACATTACTCTTTGTGTTCATATGCATTGTTTTTTGTCAAAATGTTATTGTATTAGTGCTTTTGTGTGTGCAATCCCTCACAAAAAGCCAGAGGTTCTAAATGCTAAGGGGACAACAGACTATTGCAAACACACATATAACATCTTCAGACAGTTTCTAGATGGACCTTCTTTTTTGATCTATAAGCAAAATTTTATAATGTAAAAATTGTGTATTTGTATTTTCTAGGAAATATATTTTTTCTTTTTTTTTTTAGCATGGAAGGTAGGATGATCACCCTCAAAGAACTGATGCATGCGGTTATACTTAGCTAGTTCATATTTAGGGAGAAAAATGACTTGGAAAACAATGGACCAATTATTAGGCAGAATACTTGCTTTAACTTTTAACTTTTTTTTTAAGCACCCAGTTAATAAATGTATTTGTGCAGAGACTGTGATCCTAAGAAACATACCTGTATTCTGCTACAGCATTATTTTCTAAAAATGTCCATTGTTTAATACTGAATATTCAAACTTTCTTTAGCATATTTTCCTGGTACAAAATTTAAAGTTATAGTGGTGTTGTATTATATTGTAGGTGAAAAAAGAACTAAGGGCAATCATTAATGTTCCGATTCTTAAGCCTCCTTTAATTCATCTTTGAGCAAATAAAACATGCATTTAGACAGTAATGTATACAGTGTGATATAATCTTTCAGAATAGCCCCCTTCAAGTTCAAGAGTTGTGATAGAACAAGTAGGTTGGGTGTCTTTTACACCAATGTGAAAAACTTCCTCAGTTTTTTTTTTTTTTAAGATTGACACAGTAAGCAGTGTTGGCTAATCACCTGTAAGCCATTCTCATGGTTCCTGTATATTTCTGTCTTTAATCGAAATTATAAAAATTGGCAATAGAGAACTTTATTGTTCAAAGGCAGGACAAGAAGCAACGGGTGGAAACTAATCAAGGAGAGAAGCAACCTAGAACTAAGGAGAAACTTCCTGACAGTGAGAACAATTAATCAGTGGAACAGCTTGCCTCCAGAAGCAGTAAATGCTCCAACACTGGAAGTTTTTAAGAAGAGACTGGACAGCCATTTGTCCGAAATGGTGTAGGGTTTCCTGCCCGAGCAGGGGGTTGGACTAGATGACCTCCAAGGTCCCTTCCAACTTTACTATTATTATTATTATTATTATTAATAATCCAACTATGAAAATCCCTACATTCTTGTGTTTGGTAAAATCCAGTTATTTATACAAGCATGAACACAGCTTTGGCTGACTTAATTATAAATAATAAACTGATATCAGAAAAATAGAAGGAATTTTATGGTTGAGTGAGATGGCAAATTTTGCAGAGGTATACATAAAGTTTTCAGAAGAAACAAATCATAACAATTTGTATTGTGGATTAAAATATCCCTCTATATTTGTTTTAGCACTACTATTATGGATTTTTAAAAATGACCATTAATGAAACAACAAAGGGGGGGCAAATAAAAGTAAAAGAAACTTTAACAAAGACAGATCAGTACAGCTGTGTGTCTGTGTGTGTGTGTGTTAAGAGGGAAAGAGAGACGGTTTGCCTACGTGTAAATACATATAAGAAACTTTGCACAACAGTTTCAGGTCAACAGTAAGAATGACCATATTTCATTAATTTTAGTACAATGCACTGATATAACGGAGTGACTAAATATCAATAAATATATTAGCATAGTTATTTTCATAAAGATGTTAAAATTTAATTGATTTTGATGAATACACAGTAAAAATTGGAAATATCAAAAGAAAAAATTTAGCAAGTACAATCTCAATATCCAACTTTGATTTGCTTAGGGTTAGTAATAAAAAGAAGAAAGCAAAAAGGAACTTTAATTAGACCTAAAGTAAAAGGATGCTAATTATGCCCATTAAACAAAAGAGAAGTCAAAAATAATACCATCAGTATACCCAACTGCTTTTATAACAATCCATTAAAAACAAACTTTTAGGATTTTACTCTTGTAACTTACTTATAATATCTACATAAAAAATAATAAACAAATTAGTAACAGTTGACATTTGTATTTTTTTATTGGTGATTTTGCCCAGCTTGTGTGTCACAGCCTGTGGAACCGCTGTCTATGGAAAATGAGCTGTAGTGTTGTTCCATCTTACAATTAAGATGGCACTTTGCTGGGTGGAAGCAATGAGAGGGAGGTGTTGTTACTTGTCTACAGATTAGCAAGCAACCAGTCAAGTAGTCCGCAACGAGGCATATTTCCCACAGCGGCATCAACCTGTTGTTTCTCGAAATACTTCATTACCTCCTGCAAAATATCCCCCACACTCGCACCTTTCTTGGCTGCTTTGTCAGCCAGTTGTGGAAGCTTCTTCAGCTCGTCATCATTCTCATTCATGAAAGTGAGATTGGGCACTTGGAAATGAGAAGCAGCCATCCACTGGAGGACAGCCTGGAGTTCTCTGTTCTGTGAGCTGGTGTTAGAGCTCTGGTTGTTTACAATCACCTCAGAACCAGCCGGCACGAGCGGTTTTCCAATATTAGTTCGTGGAGGTTTCTGGGATAACATTGAATCTGGAGTTGACATGCCTTTGTTTCTTGCTGTGATGTATGTGCCTTGCTCGTCAGAGTAATCTTCAACAACAAAATCAGGGCTTTTAGTCATGTACATACAGAGCTTCATCACAGATTCCATCAGCTGATCAATGAACTTCTTGTTTATTTGCTCCATATTTTCAGAATCCACATCTGAACCGTTCTGTCTGGATGGGGGTTTTCGACTAGATCTATCTTCATACGAGTTTTGCTTGGGATTCTTGCTTATTTCACACTCATCTACATTGAAACCAGCCTCTTGTAGGACCTTCTGGATGATTGATAGAAGGGCGCTTTGTATTTCCCCCCTCTGGTATTCTTGCTGTTGTGGATCACTCCTGAAACTATGAGATTTAGAACCGTGTTTGCCTCCCTTTTCATAAAATCCAAATGAAGACGTATTTGACTCACAAATGGGCTCTTTGTACTGCGTTAAGAGATGTTGTTGTATCAACATTAAAGCTGTCAAAATGAGGTCTTTTGCTAGAAACTCAGTGGTAGAGCTGCTTTTTTCTGGCCTCTTATCATGACATCCCCTGTCTGAACCCTTGCCTCCTGCTCTTGATCTCAACATGCTAATTCCATCCTTAATTATCGTTTCACCTACTTTTTGTGCTGATGTCTGTCCTTCTTGCTTTACCTTTTCCCTCATATGGACCCCACCCTTCAAAGATGCAAAGTGCATATTTGGAGCATTGGGGTCTAATGAACATCCTGTTTTCAATAAAGAGTATACAAGACTATGCCCTCTGTCCTTAGTATCCGACATCAAAGCATTATACATTCTTAATACCATTGCTTCTAAAATCTCAGTTGACTTCTGAGTTCCTGCATTGAAGAGGTTTTTCTTCACCATAGTCACAAAATCTGAGTCTGTCATCAGGACTCCAGTGACATTATGCAGATTTTTCATGGTGGAGTCAATTAAGTCTGATATGACATCCTTTGTGTGTTTGAGAAACACTCTCTTCAGAATCACACAGGCTGGGAGTGGTGGCCTTTTGTGTATCTTGGTTGCATTCACAAATGAAAACGTCATATCCTTAGCGTTTTTGTTTGCATATACCATTAGCCCTTTGTTAAAAGAACTAGTGCCATCATTGCACAACTGTTTTCTTGGATGTATCAGATGGGCATGTGTTGATCTTCCTTCTTCTTCCGGTGTTGATTCGCTTTCGTTGGAACATAGCTCACCATAAAAAAGCGATGTTTTCTTGGGGAGTCCTTTACCCTCATCTTTCTTATCTTTATTGGAATCTTGAGCATTTTCTATAACGTCATTCACCATCTTGGATGCAACCTTACTTACAGAACCAGAGGGATTAAGAGCTTTCCCATCTTTAGTAGCATAAATTGCCTGGCGTATACATTTGCTGGCAGCATCTTCCAGATTTTCAGAGATCTCTTTACTTGCCATCTGCATAACCAAAGTACACAGCTTTTGGACAGTGCTTGCTACTTCATCTGATGGTGCTTTTTGTCCTTCAGAAGCTTTGAAAGCTGTATTGTTGTTATTCTGGGACATCCTGTCAGCTGCCGATGGCTTTTGTGCAGGAGGGGCCGTTGAAGGGGACAGTGCATGCTGAAATCCACATGCATATTTTTGCAGGTCGTCAAAAAGCCAGGACACAACGTTAAGCTCTTCAGTTGAACCTTGTTTGAACAGACAAACTGCTCCTTCTGTCTTAGACTGTTCTGGCGTGTCACTGTCTTTTATTACGATGACCTCTTTGTCCTGCATTTTCCCCAGATCAAGTCCTGTGGCAGATTCACTGCTTTTGGATTGGCCAGCAGCATCTTTATCTGTATCATCTGTTTGCTTAATGTTCAGACTGGAAACATCGACAAAACAAATGACTTTGCGTTCCTGGTCCTTTCCTCCTCCAGGATTATAGAGGTCTACCTTACACACACCTGCTTGGCTGTGTAACCAATCAACTTCCTGAGACATCTTCTGAGGCTTGGAAGTGGAAATGTACCTAAGACTCTAAGGCTGTTCCTTATCAGCTGAACTGCGTTGATGACCCTGCCAGACCGAAGATGTTGCCTCCTCTCTCAACTTTCCATGCTCTTCTGCTGCCAGATGTCATTTTCACTTGTGTGCACACATAGTTTCTATGGCAGCAGTGACATCACAAAGAAGCATCTTATCACCCTCTGATAATATATTTTTCAGCTACTTTTTCTCATTCACCTACCCGGGTTTATGAGAAATTTGTCTTGATTGGGAAAAACTAATGTTGCATTCATTGAAATAATAGAGGAGAATTAAAAGTAGTTAGCTTATTTCTAAACCAAATCTTACAGGGCCTTTTAATTATAATGTCCTTCAGAATGGCACTGCAAAAGTAGGGTGATAAATTACAATAGTGGAAATTACAATACTGGAAGAAGCACTTACATTTAGTGAATTCTTATGTTTTCTGCATGCTCAGCTGCCATATGCATAAAAAAAAAACCTGTTGGGAAGGCCTGCCATCTTTAGCTGCTAAGCTACAGTTGGCACAATAGGGACATGCAAGAAGCAAGAAAATACAGAGAAGACATCTGGGAAAGTTTTGACACTCCCTATATGGCAGTTAAAGGTAGCTTATCTAGTAGCCCTTAATACAGGGGTCTTCAAACTTGGCCCTTTTATGACTTGTGGACTTCAACTCCCAGAATTCCTCAGCCAGGCACGTGTGCCTGGCTGAGAAATTCTGGGAGTTAAAAGTCCACAAGTCATAAAAGGGCCAAGTTTGAAGACCCCTGCCTTAATAGATTTGGAAATTGAGTGGTAAAGGATTTTTCATTGCAAGTACAATATCACAGCCTCATTCAAGGTGAATGTGGAGGATCTCTCGTTAGAAACCTTGAAGATCCTTTCTCAAACGATGCTGACAGTAGTGGAATGGCTTCCCATGTTTCTGTTATTTATTCTCCAATAATCTCTGTACATTGTACTTATATTTCTAATTTTGAACAACCTGCAGCTGTTATTCTACCAATGACTATTAAGCTCTGTGGAAGCCTTCAGAAGTATGGAAAAGTCTGATAGGTACGCCATCTAGTGTTACTTTCTTTATAGGACATGGAGCAGCCATTCTTTGGGAGAATAGTATAAAGCAATCACTCAGGAGCAGCCACAGTCAAGGTTCTAAAGGGAGCCCCTGTCAATCAGCAGAGAATAACAGCCAGTTGTATTAGAGCAGGAGTCTTCAAACTTGGCCTTTTTATGACTTGTGGACTTCAACTCCCAGAATTCCTCAGCCAGCATGCCTGGCTGAGGAATTCTGGGAGTTAAAGTCCACAAGTCATAAAAGGGCCAAGTTTGAAGATCCCTGTATTAGAGCCACAGAGGTGGGGAAAGAAAAGATTCCTAAGCATCTAACACAACTAACACAAAGGGCAATATGCACACACAGAGACTTAATTCTGTGTGTGTGTGTCTGTGTGTTACTATAGAAAAATAACTGAACAACAACTGAGTTCTGCAGCTACTTATTAAATAATACTATGAGTTGAATACTATTTAAGAAGTCATGAATATTTTTTTTAAAAAACCACCAAAGTAAACGGTACTGAAAGTTCAGAGGAAAGAAAAATAGATGACTTGATAAATAAAAATCAGCTTGGAAAGGAGTTCTTTTTCTCCAATATAATGTTTGAAATTTCAGATCTGATACTATCTCAAGTTTCTCTTTTACGGTACATTAAGCACTGTTAGCATTTAAAAAATATCACCTACCTGGAAATTCCATAAAATTTGAAAATTTGAGGCATGGAACTTTCATGAGATCAAGAAACACAGCTTTTGGATGATACGGGGAGGACAGACTTTAAATGCCAAAATGAAAAGAGAAACAATAACTGGCAGAGAGAAGAAAACAACTAAATATTGATGTTACAATTAATTTATTTAAAATTTTAATGGGTGTACATTTATGGTTCTCCAAGTTCTCTTGCTTCTCAGTTAACTAAAACAAATTAAAACTATATTAGTAGAAAAACACACCCTGGGAAAATATCAAAGACTGCATCTGAATGTTTGATAAGTTCACATCCATCCTTATCCCTTAAAACTTTAGGGTGACTTTAGCGTGACAGGCTGAGTTTTTCTGTCTCAACCAGATGTGCCTCACAGTTGTTTTTGGGATGAAATGAATTCCCATGGAAGCAATTTTGGACATTTGGAAGAAAGATAGGAAATCTAACAAATCAATAATTAATGTAGAGGATTTCACTTAAGCTTTTTATTCTTACTGAAGAAATTCATGGTAGTATAAATACCATTTGCATCTTTTTCTATAGCAAAAATTGGTGGTAGTAAACTTTTAGCTTGACTTCCTTATGTATATTACTATATTCTCTGAAGCCAGCACAAAAAGAGTTTCGTATTGGGAGAGAATACATAAGCTGTATACATCTCATTATGTGAAATTTGGGGAGATTTAATCTAATAAAAGTTGGGGTTATGTTGGTATATAATTTATTTGCTCAATCAGATCTCCCTATCCTGTCTTCCAGTTTCATCACCATCCAGCTTGAATTAAATTTAAATATAGGACTGAATGTAATGGCTTGTGGGTTCATATTTTTTAACAAGGTTTCTTAATTATTTTCTTTTCTCTTGTGTTTTAAGTGTACATCCCATCCATGCTGTGTATTTTTCTTTCAATATTAATGATTGTCCACTCAAGTGAATTCAAGTTATGCCTGATCTATTAGTTATTTAAAGATTGTCAATCTACCTAACATTTTTGTGACTCAGTAGTAATCCTTTATTTACATTAATTTTGCAGAAAACGATAGAAATATTTCAAAAATAAAATGTCACGATTTAAAATACTCTACTACTCAAAACATTATACTCACCTTTCAATAGATTTCAGCTACCATCTAGATGTACAATATTTTTGGTGTAGCCCAGTGGTTCTCAACCTGTGGGTCGGGACCCCATTTGGGGTCGAACGACCATTTCACGGGGGTTGCCAAACAACGCAGTCCACCATTTTTTCCCCTTTTCCTTAGCTGTGCTACTCCCTTTTATTCTATTGGCTTTTGAAAGCCAATAGAATAGACTCTCTTGAATAGAGTCTAATTCTATTGGCTTTCTAAAGCCAATAGGAATTGTCCAGGCTGTCTCTGCCCTGCTGAGCCCGCCAAAAATCCCATTCTGCAAACGGTGCTGCACCAGTTGAGTAGTCCTCGACTTACGACCAGTTGAGTAATCCTCAACTTACGACCGGTTGGGGGTTGTGACATTAAAAAGGTTGAGAACCACTGGTGTAGCCCAAAGGTGCTTTTTCAAGAGGCAACTGGACTTTCTTGTTTTTCTTTAAACACATTTTGCTTCTCATCCCAGAAGCTTCTTCAGCTCTGACTGGATGGTGGGGATGCTGTCCCAAATAAAAGTGTGTATAAAGGAGTTGAGAGGGGTACTTGCAAATTCTTATTATCTTGAAAAGTCTGCATTTTCATAGAATCATGGAGTTGGGAAGGGGTCATTGAGGCTATCCTAATTATGCCTAAATCTATACAGGTAGTCCTCAACTTACTTAACAAATGTCTCACTTAACAACAGAAATTTTGGGCTCTGTTGTGTTCATAGGTCAAGGACTACCTTGATCTGGATTAAAAAATTCCTGATAGTTCTCCAGCCAACAGTTTGATGCCTTTGGAGAAATATTTAGCTGTTGTTATCTAAGTAGTTGGTAGGTGCTGTAAAATTCGTCTCACTGTTAGGAAGCCATTTCCTTACATTCAAATAGAATCTGCTTTTCTTTAGCTTTCTGTGTCCTCCTCCCTGGGGTGAGAGCAAACAAATTTGAGGTTTTGTTCTGTTCTTCATTCTGCCTGATACTTTAAGTGTCACAGAAATGCTTCTATAATTGCAAAATCACTAAATCAAACGTTATTATAAAATCTTGGCCTTCTATATAAATGTTGAAATGCATTGTGACAAATGCTTAGACAGATCGGTTGGCCAGATTGGGTAATTTTACAGGACAGAAGACTCCCCCCCCCTGTAAGTGTGAAACTCTTCAAACTGGTAATGTTTTATATCTACAAAAATAATTAAGGTGTAGGTCCACCGTTAATAGTACTAACTCAAATGGAAAATTTGTGTTAAGCTAAAAACTAGATTGAGATTTAGCATTAACATAGTTCTAGTCATAGCACATGGTAGCTATTCATGTAATCTTAATTTAACTCTATTGTATTGTTATTGCTGAGTTGGTAGGTCCCCACCAGCTTTGTGTTACATGCTAAATAAAATGGAGCTGGATAGTTTTCAGTTGATATGACTACATTTATATTCTGCTAATCCAGATTCAGAGTTTACGACATTGTATAAACTTAGCCATCGAGTCCTTATTTTACCTGGTAAGCCTGCAGTGAAATCTAATTCATGTTATTTACACTTGAAATTAATGCTTAAAAGCAAGATGCCATGACTGATGAAAGCAAGGTCCATGATTCCCATGATGAGGAAGTCCCATTTTCTTTCTTCTTCTTCTTCTGCTCAGGTTGTGCATGATTGAGAAAATGTCTTACTAATTTATATTTGTTAATATAACCTCTGTGATTGAATAAAAGTTACAGTGTATGTGACACGGTATGATTCTTTCATCTTTTCCGTTATAGTTTGATTGTAGCGAAACTATTTGCTTCTGGATAAAGACGAGAATAAATTTATCCTAAATGTCAGAATGAACAGCTTGACTAATGGTTTACCAATTAAATTCTTAAGCAACTGGTGCAGTGTGGGCAACTGGAACTGCAACAGGGTTTGGTTCCAGCCTGTTTCCGTTGGACCACCTGATGTCACCGGGATTGAGTCAAATGATTAAATCCTGTCCCCAATGAAAGTGCTTGGAAATAAATGCTTCAGAAGCCAAGATGGTTTGAAGGGACTCATCATGGAAAATATGGGGCAACCAAAGAACAACAGTTGAAGGACAACAAGTCCTACTTCAGATGACTGCAGACTACTGAAAAAAAACTTTTTTTTTTTTTTACTGTTGGGGAGGAAATGAAGGGTCCTGTGGGCTCCCTAACCCATCAATTTGGAACACAAGACAGAGCTTCTCTAACTCTGTACAATTCAACATAATCTGTTAAATGATTGGCACCATTAAAGGATAAAAAACCTATTATGGATTTATCTTGAAGTGCCATGATCTGCTATTATGCTCTGCCACAGCTATATAGCAGCAATGAGTTTTCCATTGCCCATTGTTTTGAGCTAGAAAGGGTTGTATGAACAAGATTATTGTTCGGAAGATCACATTCCAAATCATATGCTAGATCTAAGTGGCATTTCAGTCAGTATCTTATGAAAGTTGCAAAGAAAAAAAATTAAGGGAATTTATAGCAAAAAAAGATACATCAGAATAATCATGCAAGCCACAGAGGAAAATATGCATATTGCAAAAATATATGGCTTATAGCCACAATTGCAGATTTTCAGACTATTTTTTAAAGGCAAAAAGTTTGCCAAAAATTAAATAGAATCTAATACCATTTGAATACCGTTAGTATTAGCAACTGGTAGATTTATAAACCGCACCTCCCCCCCCCAAAAAAAAAATCATCCTGATTTTTTTTCAATTCTTTGTTCTTTGCTTTTCTCTAGTTTTCAATACCGCTTTATGGGGATGGTAGAAATCTGAATGGCTACAACCATGCCGCACCTCTCTTTTTTTTTTTTTGCATAGTTGTTTATTTATTGTGCAGTTTTCTGGAATCCTTGGATAATATGATGGTAAAGCTAACTGGGACTTGGCTATCTGTAAAGGTTTGTTTGAAGTGATCAATAAACAGCCTGTCTCCCCCCTCACTTTTTTTTATTCTTTTTTTTATTGATGAGCTTGCCCAGCTACCCTGGTTCAATTCAGTGCATTATTGCTTGCAGTTGGGTTGCAATGGTGGTATCTGCTGCGCCAGAAAAGAATGGTTTAGGCGCCTACGCTGGGGACATGAGAGTAACATGAGAGGGAAGAGTTGGTTCTTACAGGTTAGCAAGCAGCCATTCGACCAGTCCACACTGAGGCTTGCATCCTGACATGGCATCCATCTGTTGTTTCTCGTAATACTTCATTACTTCCTGAACAATATCTCCCACGCTGTAGCCTTTCTTGACTGCTTTATCAGCCAGCTGTGGAAGTCTGTCTAGTTCTCCATTGTGCTCATTCATGAAAGTGAGGTTTGGCACATTGAATTGTGAGGCAACCAACCACTGGAGCACAGCTTGCAGTTCTTTGTTTTGTGTACTGT